TCTCTCTCTCTCTCTCTCTCCTCTCTCTCTCTCTTCTCTCTCTCTCTCTCTCTCTCTCTCTCTCTCTCTCTCTCTCTCTCTCTCTCTCTCTCTCTCTCTCTCTCTCTATCTCTCTCTCTCTCTCTCTCTCTCTCTCTCTCTCTCTCCTCTCTCTCTCTCTCTCTCTCTCTCTCTCTCTTCTCTCTATCTATCTATCTATCTATCTATCTCCGTCTCTGTCTCTTTCCCGTCTCTCTCACTCTCTCTAGTGAAAATAATAACCATAGAGATAATCATAATAATAACAGTGATACTAATGATGGTTATTACAATGATAATGATAATATGATAATAATGATAATAATAACATTGGTAATAATGATAAAAATAGCATTGATAATAATATTAATGGTAGTAATAATGATAACAATAATACTACTAATAATGTTAATTATAATAATAACATCAATAGTATCAGCAGTAATGATAACAATAATGATAATGATAACATTAATGTGTGTGTGTGCGTACGTGCGTGTGCGTGTATATATCTATATATATGATATATATATATATATATATATATATATATATATATATATATATATATATATATATATATACAATATCACACACAGTCTCTGTATGTGTGTGTGTGTGTGTGTGTGTGTGTGTGTGTGTGTGTGTGTGTTCGTGCGTGATTGCGTGAGTGCATTCGTGTGTACGTGTCCCTCATCCTCTCTCTCACCCTCTCCTCCCCCCTCCTTCACCCTCTCCCTCATCTCTCCCCTCTCCCTCACCTTCATCCTCCCCATCCCTCACCCCCTCCTTCACCCCTCTCCCTCCACTCTCTCCCATCCTCTCCTCACACTCACCCTCACCAATCCTCTCCTCACCTCACACTCCACCCTCACGCACTCCCTCATCCTCTCCTCACACTCACTCAGCCTCCTCCTTCACCCTCCCCCTCCCTCACCCCTCTCACTCCCTCTCCCTCCCTCTCCCTCAGCCTCAATCCCCGCTCCCCGCCTCCTCTCCCCTCTCCCCTCCTCCCCCTCCCCCCCCCTCCTTCACCCTCCCCCTCTCCCTCTTCCCTCCCCCTCACACTCACCCTCACCCTGTCTCGTTGTGGTTCCAGGTCCCCCTGACGAGCGTGCAGGACGACTCCTCAATGGACCGCTTACTCATGCTCCAGCAGGCCCTGAGTCTCACCTCGACGAGCGGGACTCAGAGTGACTCGCCCATCGTACTCATCTTGATGTGAGGGCGTGAGGGCGTGACTCATCTTAGGTGTTATCGGTGCAGTATGTGACGAGGAGGACTTGCCTAGTATGGTTTATTCACCGTGAGTGCGTAGTTTACTCATCGTAAGGAAGATGAGTAGGCCTACAGTTTATTTATGAAGGTGTGCACATTGTGTTTATTACAGTGAAGATATGTATATTATATGAGGAGGGTGAGTACAGTCTATTCATCATGAGGAGGATGAGTACAGTATATGCGTTGTGAGGAGGATGAGTCCTGTACATTCATCAGTGAATGACTCACCGATCACACCGCATAGTGATTTATACACTGCCAATCACACTTCCTTCGATATAGGAAATAGTGTATGATACAATGTAATAAGCACTCTTACTGCCTGAGGAGATGACTGCTTACGCTCGAAACGTAATGGTCATCTCACGTTATCCTTGTGACCAGGCTAGATCAGTAGCAACTCGAGGTGTCATGGCGTCTGATTCCATATTTGGAAAACAAACACGTGGTGTTTATTTTGATGACGTCACAAATGTTACGGATGCTTTGTAAATATGGTTGATCCTCTTGGTCTCTTCAATTTTCAAAAAGAATGGAAAATAATGAATTTAATGGTTATATATTCATCGAAAAATCATCAAAACAGACGCCAAATAATGAATTTAATGGTTATATATTCATCGAAAAATCATCAAAACAGACGCCATGACACCTCCTCGAGTTGCTACTGATCTAGCCACTCCCCGTACGGTCTCGGTCACAACAAAAACATGCTTCGAATCCCGTTTCGAACGTCCGCTTAATACAAACACTTTTTATATGGGCGATGACGGATTCGAAGCTTCGAATGACACGACTTTTGACCGTCACTGTACATGCTATCTTGTTTATGTTTGCGTCTAAGAACACTAATGTGCTTAGGAGAGATGACATAGAGAAGACAACGGTAGATGTGCAGTTTGTGTAACGTAGCGTCTTCTCGTTTTAATAACAAAATCTGGTTGACTAATGCATATATATATATATATATATATATATATATATATATATATATATATATATGTGTGTGTGTGTGTGTGTGTGTGTGTGTGTGTGTGTGTGTGTGTGTGTGTGTGTGTGTGTGTGTGTGTGTGTGTGTGTGTTGTGTGTGTGTGTGTGTGTATGTATGTATGTATGTATGTGTGTGTAATATGTATGTATGTGTATATATATATATATATATATATATATATATATATATATATATATATATATATATATATTAATGTGTGTGTGTGTGTGTGTGCGTGTGTTCATATACATTTATGTATGAATATGCATATACATATGCGTGTCTATACTTACAGTAGCGTGCACAGGGACGGTGGCCCCAGAAATGCAAATGGGGCCTCCAATCCGAGAGCCAAAAAAAAAAAAAATTAAATCGAATAAAGTTTATACTTCACGTCTCATCTGTGTTTACATATTCAAAAGAGTACACAGTGCAGTGCTTGGCCTTTTACTTAGGTGTTTAGGGCCTACAGTCCATGAGTTGGCCCTGGGTATCACCAGACCTTGTTACGCACTGTATGTTTTTATATGTATGCATGTGTATGTATGTTTGTTGTTTATGTGTATGGATGTTTATTGTTTGTTTATGTGTATTTATTGTGTTTATGTGTGATGTTTATTGTTTATGTGTATGATGTTTATTGTTATGTGTATGCATGTTTATTGTTTTTTATGTGTATGCATGTTTATTGTTTATATGAATGCATGTTTATAAGCACTCACATAAGGTCCAGAGAAGAAAGGGTGATGTATATAATAAACTATTCGTAAGCATTTTTTTAATACAAACTAATGATAAAGATTATAGATATACTGGTTATTAAAAGAAGATTTTATACAAAAAATATGTTTCATTTCCCCAAAGTAATATGTCATAAATCAGTTATCGGATCTAGATTATTATTATTGTTATTGTCAATATTATTATTATTGTTATTGTCAATATTATTATTATTGTTATTGTCAATATTATTATTCGTTATTATAATGATTATTATCTTTACTGTGTGTACCATTATCATTGTTGCTATGATATAGATAATAATTATTATCAGTGATAATATTTACAATAATAAGACATACATAATTTTCATCATTCTCATTATCATCATTATCATTACTACACCTACTTCTACTATTACAATGATCATCACCGTCATTAACATCGATAATAAAGATATGAATGATAATTATGATAATAATGATACTGATGATACTGATAATGATGATAGCAATAATAACCATAAACACAAAAACACCAATGATTACGATGATAATGAGGATGATAATTATATTAATATTTCCACCATTATTGCCCCTGCAATTACTACTTACGATAATGATAATAATGATAATCATAACGATAATAATAGTAATAATGATAGTGGAACTATTAATAATAATAATAGCAATAATAATAAATGATAATAATGATAACAATTATTATGATAGTAATGACAATGAAACTCATAATAAATAATAAATACAATGATGATGATAGCAATTATGATTCCTATTATTACTAATATTATCAGTATCATCATCACTGCTATTATTATCAATATTATCAGTATCATTATCATATATTATCGTTATTAATATTATTATTATTGTCATAGAGACAACACGGACAGAATGGCTCACCCCCATGGGTACCCCCCTACCCCGTTCCGTACGTACATGACGTGACATGACAGGAAGTAGGCCTAATGACTCCCGGAATAGGAAGAAGAGGCAGACAAACAAACAAACGTGCACTCAATTGTTAGGCCAAACTATCGATCCGAGAACAGCTGTTGCAGGTGATTTTCCCCTTCCATCCCGCCTCACCCCCACCCCCCCTATATGCCCCCATACCCCTCACCTAAACACCGTATGGACATTTCGGACCCCCCCCACCCCCACCCCCATCCCCCACTCCTTGGGTACCCCTTACCCCTTTACCTACATACCCAGACGTGTCGTAACAGGAAGTAGGTATATGGAAGGTCCCCTCCCCCCCCTCCCCCCTCTCTCCTCCCAAAGGCAATGATAATGGCTGTTCCTCATGTCTGAACGTACAGGAGGAAGAAGACGGAGAGACAGACAAACAGACACGTGTCTAGCTTCCGGCATACCCCTCCCCCCCCCCACCGCCCTCCTCCGAATCCCCCAATACCCAAACGCAGCACTGGGCGAAAGAGGGTCACTTCCGGTGTGAGTTAGGTCAATGGGTGACCTCGCCGGGAAATAATAATAAAAAAAACGTATCTGACGACAGCTGTTCATCATGTCTGAACTTGTAGCATATCGTACACTGTCTTAAACAAACAAACAAACAGCCCAAGAGGATCTCTACCCATGGAGCTGGGACGAGGAAGTAATAGGCGGATGAAGAAGCAAACAAACAAACAGCACAAATATCCGTATTATCTACATATTTTACAAATGCACAATATAGGAGCAGTTATTAAGGCCCTATCACACTAGCACTTTTTCCGTCAATTTCTGAATTTTGAGGCTTTCTGCAAGGATCGTCTACAGACCAAGACGGTTACGACCGTTTCCGTCTGATTAATTTCCGTGTTGCTCTTGTGCTATTGATAAATTAGATAGGATGAGTGAATGTAAACATAAGCTAATATTTTAGAACATTCGTATATACAATATACGTAACCATATTTCTTTAAAATACTGTAATATGTGTGAGAATGTTCGTGTGATTCCCGGGACCTCACTCCGACAGCGCCATGTTTGTTTACATGATTTTCATACGGAGTTCAAACGGAAACGAAAAATATTGACGGAAAAAGTGCTAGTATGATGGGCCTTTACTTACCTTCGTGGGTCATTACTAACTTTGAGACCTCCCCTCATCTTTTAACATGTTATAGTAACCGTTCTTATAATGCTAATGCATCTTCATTATAAAATATAATTCAGTGGAAAGGATTATAAAACTCTTGTACTCAATATGTCTTTATTATGGCATCCAGCCTTACAAAAGCACACGTCAAAACAGGCGATAATGCAAATCTAAGAAATATAATAGACAAAATTTTCTGCGTGAATATAGATACGGCAACCACTATATCGCATACTTGTACACGTTGACTAATTGCTTGTCCACCTGTCACCTGCGCTCGATAATGACTGACTTTTCAAAATCTTCCCATTGTATATACTACCAAGTTTGCGAAAATGGGTGATACTACGAATTATTTCCTCTTGGAACTCAAACTATAGGTCTTGCATTGCATCATCAGCCTTTTGTCGGTAAGCTTGTTCTGATTGGTTAGAACGGGAAGCGCGGGAAAATGTTGTTTACATTGGTTCCTCGCTGCCTCTCTGCGAAGTCCACTGGTAAGGTCTGAAACTCATCCTCATCGCCTCACAACTCACATGGTGTGGGTTGTGTCAATGCTACACCGCGAAGATGCAGCACTAACGAAGGCACCCTTTTTCACTCATGCTTATGCCACTAACAGGTCAATTACCTAATAGATTGAATATATACAATGATAAGACATACATAATTTTCATCATTCTCATTATCATCATTATCATTACTACACCTACTTCTAACTAACAGGTCAATTACCTAATAGATTGAAAAGTCGCTGTTTCATCCTATTTAGGAAGTATTGACAGGGATTTCAAAGGTGGATCGGGTTTCCCTTTCATACATCCACCTGAAAGGCTAATTATCTGCCAACCTGGCGTGTCAACCAGCCAGGTTTCGCTAACTACCCTCAAGGGGCAATACAATGCTTTTCCAAAAGTGTTACTACCTCATTTCTCAAATTGATCATTCTTTTTACAACCTATGATGCAATCTAGGGGAAATATTCAGCGTTCCTCTAAGGCCCATTTGTATAACTATATTCAGATGGACGTATTCTTGAATGGGAGGTTACAAACTAATTACATACTCTGATCTCCACGTGCGCTCCCCTTCTCGTATAAAAACACCGATGTAAACATTGGCTAATCCCCCACCCCCTCCTCCATTTTTTTTGGGCGTCGGGATTGGCGGAAGGAACTGCTGATTCGCATTAAAAGGCGGTCGAATCTGAAGGAGGACATAGTGGATTCTACAGTTACCGAGGATATCCCGCTGCCACATAATTTCTGTTTGAGTTATTCTTGAAAAAAAAAATTCTTGTTTGGTTTGTATTGTTTGTATTATATTGATTTTCTTGAAATGTGAACATTGTATTGTGAATCTGTGAAAATTTGTGATATTTTGTGTGATTTTTATTAGATGTTGGTTTAGAATTAATCGTTTTTTTATTCATAGGTGTTGCTGCTGGAAGTAAAATTGCTAGGGTGGATCTTGGAACGGATTAAACCTTGTGTA